TGCCAACATTTTTGACATTTCTCTGCATACATATTGCAAACTGCTGTCCCTGTCACATGAAATCATTTGGCTTATAGCAGCAAAACGTTGAGTACAATTAAAGTTGTCTGAATGAGAAGCCGAGAATCTGCTGCGAGATTAAATTAAACGTCTGTTAGACTTGCAGGCGCTCGCTCAAAGACCCTGCTGCTTTTCTTAACAAACACAAGGATCATCTTAGAGATTTCTAATATGCGAAATATATCGATATCTGGCCTGTGAGAGACACTTCCACGAGGGACAACGCTGTGATGGTAAACCGAATTGATTTTATTTTTCTCTGCAATTTTCAAAGTGACAGCCAATAACAAACCGCTCGCTAAAGTGGCACACCGGGGAGCAGAGGGAATAAAGTTCATCAATACACATTTAGCAAACATCTATTAAATGTATGACATGTAGGATGGAAGGAAGAGAGCAAGCAGAGGAGGTTGAAGGTTGTGAAAAGGATGATGGATCGTAACCCAGATGTCATCGCAAATTAGAGGACGATTCTCTGCTGATTGAAGAGAAAATATCACAGAGGGCAATTTAGCCCGTCTGCATTTTTAGTTTTTATTTGTGAACAAATTACCTATTGATTTCATACACAACTCAGACAGATCACACAGAATCAAATTGAACTCGTAAACAGCTCGTAGCATTTTTGCTTATTCTGCTCGGCGTTGAAAATGACACCTGAACCGTTCGGGTGGCGTCAGATACGAGCTCAACCGGGACTTGATGAGATAAATTGACATCCAAATAGTCAGCCGAGCTAATTTTACGCCGCGTGTCCTCGAGCAGTTCTCTCCCGTAGACCGAGTTGGAATTAAACGAGCTAAAATTACGACAGGAAAAAAAAGCAAAGAGCTAACACCGCCCGGTATACGTAACTTACTTATCGCTGATTAGTTAAAGTCGCACATCACGCTTCTGATTGCTGCTGACAAACTGCAGGAGTTTGTTGCAGGGAAGTAACTGCATAATAGAAAGAGACGGCATTGTTCGGGCTGAGATTGTTGGTAATTTATTTACAATCTCATGCTGAGTAGACACAGTGGTCGAGGATGTGTTCAAAGATAGACTGCGAGCAGGGAAAACAGACACGGTTAACTTTCCATCAGCTCCGAAGTATCAGTTTTAACGTGTTGAATCTTTTTCAGCTCACAAGTATATCAGTAACCTCGCCTGTTTTCTGTGGAGTGGCAAACTGGCGACAAACATATGACGGCTTAGTGTTTGTTGGAACTCGAATAGCTGCTTCCATCTTTCTGAGATGGATGCAAACGGCCAAAATATCATTTAAAAATGTACATTTCTAGTTTAAAATGTGAATTATAATTAGGAAAAAACTTACATATGTGGTGAATTAATTGTTTCTACATGAGGATTGTTTCATTTTTGAAAGGCTGAAAGTAACGGTGCTCTTTGTTGCCAATAATAAAACCTCTAAAAGCCTGATCAGCAGACCAAGTCCACACAGAGTTTGGCTTTATGTGTGCATTTATTTTTATTAGTAACAGTGTCTATAAATGTTGTTACATTTAAGTGAAATCTAACCCACACAGCTCATTTGCAGACCTTGTCCCCAGTTTGGTTTAAACTAACGGCACAAAACAAACAGTAAAGTAGAACCAGTAATAGAAACAACAATGACGAAAATAATATAGATTTTAAAAAAACCTGTTTGTGTCTGTGTGTGTGTCAGATCAGGAACTAAGTAACATTTGAATTTCTCTCTTAAGCTCCAACCTTTCATTCTCGACACAACAACAACTATTTTTGTGTTTACAAATAAGAGCAACACAGTGAGTGCCTTTAACAAGAGAGTTTCTAAAAATGTGCACCGTTTTCTTATTTCAAGTACAGAAAATCCCAGTCTGTGCTCTGCAATGCTACGCCAAACATTTTTGTAAGATTAATTTTTGGGGAATTTTGTGCCTTTGTTGGAGGGATAGTGTGTCAGACAAGATCATGGGGAGAAGAAGAGGCGGGGATGACATCTAGAAAGCATTACGCCTTTAATAAATGGGCCAATCGGCCATCGATGAGGTCTGAATCGACTGCCTAGTGGACGCTGTGAGGTCTTTCCCCTTCCTGGCAACCATAATCTCACAGGCCTTCATGCGGGAGCCAAACATCAGCTCCCTCATCAAGAAAGCACAGCAGAGGAAGTACTTCCTGCAGCAGAAACTCAACCAGCTGAGTTCATTGATGGTGTACTTCTGCTCCTCCATCACCATCTGGTACGCTGCTGCCACCGCCAAGGACAAAGGCTGACTGCAGCGTGTCATCAGTTTTGGTGAGAAGGTGATTGGCTGCAATCTGCCTTCTCTACAAGAGCTGTATGCCTGCAGGACACCGAGGCGAGCAAGAAGGATTGTTACTGACCCCTCCCACCGCACATATAAACTTTTGGAGTCACTCCCCTCTGGCAGGAGGCTGAGGTCCATTATTGTGGTCCATTAGGAACATAAACCTCATAGCACAAGAATGGTTACTTCATATCTGCAGCTGGAAAACTTGACAAAGCTTTGATCCCCTCCTCTCTGTCGCGTTGATGATTTTTATTTGTTCAATTAGCAAACCATTACTCAGGCTGCTGAAAATGTTGTTATGACCGTAACCGTAATCATGTGTAAATTTGAGTGTCCAGGTGCTCCTCCGGGATTGGTGCATCCAGGGTGGATGGCTCGCACCGATTGGCTGCGGACCGGGAGGCAGCGGATAAGAAGAGACCGGCGGGGACTGCCACTTCATTCATCCTCGGCCCAACCCAACCGGCAGACCGTTCACTGTGTCACTATGTTGCTATGTTACTTGATGTAAGAGCATGTAGGGGTGGACCGCCTTTTTGTTTGATCAGTTTTCTCCTGTTTTTGTTAGGCAGGGAGGAAAGTGATTGTCGTTTGGTTTTTTTGAGTAGGTAAGTTGTTTATTCCTGAGATAGGTTACCTTTTGTTTGTTGTTTTGGCCTTGGGTTCACCCTGACGTTAAGATGTGCTCCCTTCCTTGGTTTAACTGCACTTATTGTAAATAAATCACTGTCACAAAATATTAAGTGTGTGATGTGCTGCTTGGGGTTGGACGGGGATGGATCAACCTTTATGTTGTGGTCTGGCCGCGCCTAGACGGGCCATAACAATGTACATATTCGACTACTGCAGACTTTTATATTATATGTTCTGATTCTGTGTCAACAAAGCTTCAAGCAGCTACAACAAGATGATGTTTTACGTGTTTAGCTTTCAGCGGTTTGTGCAGGTCTTTGTTACGACACTGATCACAGTTTGTTTGCTGGTACCACAACAGAACAACAGCAGCTTCAGTGGATGTATAAGTAGCAGGCTCACTGTACATCTTCATTCCTGCACTTGTTCTTATTTCTCCATGTCTGCCAAGCATAAAATCATATGGAGATAGATGGAAGCCTTATCAATTTATTCATGCTTTACAACATGCACGCAGCAATAAATAATAAGACATCTTAGGATGTACAGTGGGATCCAACACATTTGTCTATTTTGCATTAGTTCCCAATTTATCTCAAGAATATTCATGCCAAATGATAAAACCAGCTTTGAATGAATCTCTACAAAATTTACATAAATTTTAGATTATATCTGTATTTGCTTTGCCCCCCTTTTGACGGCACTTCTCGAGCCGCATCGGCTCCACAGTTTTATGCAAAATCTGATAACCCGCATTATCTCAGCACGATCTGACGTTCGTTCGAATGGTTCTCATGGTGTCAGGAATGTTTGGCTCTCTCCGTCTTCAAATGAGATTAAAAGGATTCAGCGGAGCCGAGGACTCCTTGGTCTTTGGTCTTAAGTGCTTGCGAACCTTTGATGTGTGTTTGGGTCATTATTCTGCTGCAGTGTGAATCCATTTCCAAGATGTGAGGATGGAGCGTCGAGAAGTGCCGCTTCTTCTCGGCGAGAGCGCTTTGTATACGGAGCAAGTGCCCGATCACGGCACTTCACGGCAAATCGCCAGTAACGCCAGGTGGGAGCTTGGTCTCTGCGTCCGAGAGATCCAGCTGCTTGACAGCACGGATGTCGTTAATCAACGTGAAACCTAACTTTTAAATCGCAGCATATCGCGTTTAGGGACATTTTGTGTGTCAGGACATTTCAGCGTTTCATGTCACGCCGTCAACATCACAAAAATGTCCGCTTCCCTTACCGCCACTGATTCTCTAAATGATACTGTGGCAGTGTTGTACACAGTAAGGCACTGGTTTTCAGTCGCAAGGTAGCAGTAGTGGGATTCCCAACCCAGATCCACCTGTATAATGTCATTTCAACCCTTTATTCCCACCACCTTGTTGCACTCGCACTGCACTATCGCTCTTTTCCCCTCTTCGCCTCCTCACAACCCTCTCTTTTCACCATAAATCTAAGACTTGGATATGTCAGTCCAAATGTTTTTCTTTCTCATCATCCTCTTTGAAATGCTGTTATGGCTTTAGCCTTGTTTCCTCTCCTGAGATGTGGTTTAGATATTGCCTCTCATCCTCTGAGACCACTGCTAGACAGCCTTAAGCTCAAGAAGCCCCTTCCTCTTTAAAAGGTTGTTTAGAATAACAATTTGACATCAGATGCCACGCGGCAATTACCCTCACTTATGTTCTCTTAGAAACTATTTCCTCCTTTTATCGTCTTTCTTGTTTTGCCACTGGAGTCTTCCTACCGCAGACAGTCTAGATAACTTTTTGTATCTATTTATGTTTAAACTGTTCAAACTTTTATCATGAGTTTCCTTATTGGCATGTCTTTATGTTACCGGTCGAAAGAACAGATCATGGAGGAGAGACTGGCCGTTTGACCCCTAAATAAGCGTCTCCATTAGGCTACGGTGCACGCCTTACTTTTAAGCTCTGAATCTCAGCACTTCTGGAATTATTAACATTGTTGTCTTTCATCTGCTAACCTGTGTGAGCTTGGTCAGACCGCCTCCATCGTTAAATTGGCAGCTGAGCTCAACAGACTCTGTGGGATACGCCTCCAGCTCCTCTGCAACTTGCACTTTCGGAGCCCCAATTTCTGAAAGCAGAAGAAAAGAGAAGAGAGATTATGCAATCGTTCACATCATCATATTTCTTTGTAATAAAATTAAAAGAGGAAGTTGAACAAACAGGGACTAAAAAAGGTAAGAATCTGGGAGGAAAGCATTTCCAGTGGGCTTTTAATTAAATGCACTTGCTGTGACTGATGTTTTCCCCTCCCACATTTTGTTTGCCTTGATTGTGGAGGGTCAACCTCCTTCATTCATTATAGATAATTTAGAGAACTATACTCAAAACAGAGCAAGGAAGAGGATTAAACGAACAGGAGACCATGAGAGGAAAGAGACAAGCTCATTAAAGAGAAAGAAATAAAAATTCAGAATCATTAGTCTTTGGTAAAAAAAAGCATCAGGCAGAGGCTTCCTTCACCTGGGTCCTCCTCATTACAGTAAAGCTTGTCTACCAGGAGACGAGGGGGGGCGAGCCTCTAGGAACAACGCTGCGGTTGGTTACTTTGCCTTTCGTCTGTTTGCAATTCAAAGGAAGGCACCTGTAACTTTTCCTTTCAAGCTGAGGTGAAAAGTGTTGAGAGAGCAGAGAAGGTCAACAAGGCCAGCACAGGTTTAATGAAAACAAGCAGGGAGAGCCGATCAAACTTAAACACCGATCAAACACATATGCTAACAGCCAAGCAATGCCTCAACACTGTGTGCCACCTGTTGACCCGCAGGCTGTGTCAGAACACAGAGTTTGAACCGGACAAGAGGAATTAGTTTTTTAACATTCATCCGTCATTCTGCAATTGACTGACTCAGCTCCATGCAGCTGCCAGACCTCCTTTCAAACCTATACTTTATCCCTTTTTATCAATTTGTAACGAAACGTCACCGTGCTGCCGTGATACCCTATTTTCTTGCCAACAAGAATTGGTGTTCCTACCCATGTATCAGGTTTCTTTGTTCAAACACTCTCCACAGGAGAGCCGGACGTCCACTGGATTTCAGATTGAGCTGCCAAACAGAACTGATGTTGCAGAAAATGCATTTCAGGCTTGCAACAGAAGTGCAGGAAACACCGAGCTAGACACATTCTGCAAAACAGCAGCTTTAAAAAAAAGCTCCTCAGAACATTGCTTTAAACTGCACGTAGGCTCTTTGTTGTGTTGTTTTCCCCCCAGTGAGAAAATATTCACTTGCTGTATAAATTTCTTAAAATTGAAGGACTTTAATGAACTTGTAATTCTTGTAGCTAACAGAGGGAGAAAGACAGAGAATGGCTCGACCAGAATAAGAAAGAAAAACGAAAAGACAAAGGATCAGAGAACTTGTAATCCTTTCTTAATACAATCTGGGCCAAATCCAGCAGCTCAAAGTGTTTGGCAACATCCATAAACAATCATATGAGACTGGGAGTGACATTTTAAGCGTGTCCAAATGTTCAAAATGTTGTTTTTCACATTGAGCCGTCAAACACTCATTTGGAGTAACTTAATGAAGCTTTTCTATTTCTTTTTCTTTTTCTTTACTTGACCTGCTGCTTTCACTCATTCAAGCTCCAGACCCCCCGCTGACCCCGGATCAAATGCTACCAAGGCCTTTCTTGTCTGCCTCCCCTTAGTCTCTGCCCTCTCAGCCAGCTTCTGTGCCTGTAAAGATAAAATTCTTGTGGGGAGCCGGCCTCTTACTCTCACCACAAGAAAAAGGGGGATAAGCACTCACTAACCGCTAGCTATAACCGCTAGCTAGCCCCGGGTGTGTTTGGAAAAAGCCTCTTAGTGTGTGAGGGATTGATTAGGACAATGTGTTACATTCTGCACCGCGGAGGTGAATGGGCTGGCCGGGATTTAGCCCGAAAATCAGCTGTAAAACGCAGTCACACTAACAAAAGAAGTGTGAAGGTTGTGCGCTGCAGGGGGTCTTGGGTTGTTTTGGATTTACAGCACGCGCGCATCCGCATGTCCAACCATGTGTGCGGGAGTGGATTTTGTGTGTGAAGTCATATGCATGCTTTACGGCGCGGGACTGATGTGTGCGTGTGTGATCGCTGTACGTCAGAGTGCGCGCATAAATCACAGCATCTCACTGTAATGTGAGCGCAGATAAGACTGACTGAGTCACTGAAGCACACTTTTTACCCCGAGGGAGACAACGGGCTGTCAAACCATTTATCCTTTCCTAGTGTTGGTCCAACACACTCACAGACACACACATATATACATGCAAATAAAATAAATTAAGTTTTTACACGACCCGACAACAACGAAAACAGCAGAGTTTGAATCTGTTTTCCCCATTTGCTTCTCTTTCGATGACATTTTTGTTCACATTTGCTTTTTTCTTTGCTCATAAACAAAAACGCAGATTAATTTCACCTAATTAAACACATCAACACACAACTCCCACTATTCATAAAGAAACCCAAGTGCAGAAATACACAGACACACCAGATGGTCTCACCAAAGCCATGAACCACATAAATGTTTGGGTTATTCATAGTGGTCAATGAAATCTCTCCTGTGACGCACGGGGAAAAATATAATAAACAGAAACAGGGAGAAAAGAGAGGAAGAGGGGATGATGGTGAAGGAAAATGAGGTGTATTGAGGTTGAAAGAGCTAAACAGTGAAAGAAAAAGATGTCAGGAAGAATATGAAAGGAGCTTTGAGAAGGATGGTAGAAATATTTATTTGGGGGATTAAATATTACGGAATAAACGAGGAAAAGCGACTCAGAAAAGTGACTAAAGGGATGTCTGAAGCTGAGAGAGCTGGAGGAGTAGACTGGAGAAGGAAATGAAGAAAACCAGAGAGAGGGGAAGTTTTAAAAATGGTCAAAAAGTGACACGAGGAGAAAAAGCTAAATCTTTGAAAAGTAAAATAAGGGAGCAGAGAGCATGAGATGACGCCACAGATGATGCATTTCCTCAGAGTCAGATGGAGACCGAGCCTACTGGCTCCCTGAGATGAGTGAGAGGGTGAGAAAGTTTTCATTCTGACCGTACATACAGACCAGCGTGATCTCAGCTGCAGCAGAGTTGCAGCTTGTTTTGAGGTTAGCTGATACTTGTTTGCTGCAGTGTATAGGCTACGTTTTAAACACTGACATTTAGCCAGAGTGTGCAAATATAATACATCGCGTGGAAAAATATCATTTAAGCTACAGAAGACTTGCATGAAATAAAAATGAAAGCTCACAAAAGTTGTTGTCAAACATGAAATCAGTCTCAAAAGATTAAAAAAGTGGGTATATTTTGTTAAGAAAACACTAAATACTAGGGGTGGGTTTTTATAATCAATTTATCGATTAAAATCGATTCTGGCTTGGATAACGTGAAATCGATTCATTAAAATCCTGAATCGATTTTTTAATATAAATTTATTTTGCCCGAAATGCCAGAATCTCTGGTGAAATCTCACAAAATTTCAACAACCACCAAACAGCTGAGACAGCAAATGAGAGCAGGACAAAGACTTAAACACACAGCGCAACCCGCGGATCAGAATCAGTGAGATGTCGCCTTTCTCACGGTCGGGGCTGAAAGCCGACAGCTCGCTGATTCTGATCTGTCAGCAGGTCCGCGCTTTGTGTTCAAAGCTGTTATTTTGATCTCTCTCCAAACAATATTGACCGAACCAGCAGCAAAAGAAGATCCAAACTACGCTTCACCTCTCTCGCGTGTCAGCTTCCTTTTTATAGATACAAAAATATGTAAATGTACTGATCTGAATTATAATATTTCTGACTGTCAAAATTTCCCAGATTCAAATCGAATTGAATCGAATCGTGGATCGAATCGATTCGGGACCTTGTGAATCGGAATTGAATCGATTCTAGAAATCAGTGACGATACCCAGCCCTACTAAATACTGGTTCTATCAGCATGATTATGGTATCTGTGGAAATGTAGTGATAGCAAAAGGAACCGAGACGTGACTATCAAACACTAGGTGAGAGTGAAAGGTAAAAAATAGTTTCCACAGCAGCTTCCTGGTTCATGCTAAGTAGTAAGGCAGACAACACTGTGATATGTACTGAGAGTGCAGAGAGGTGGAGGTGAAGAGGAATGAAAGTCAGCAGAAGCAAGACAGAAGAGGGGAGATGGGTAACAGCGAGGCTGCAAGGAGCAGAGGTAGTGACGATAAAATACCGGTGGTCAACCATCACAAGCAACGGACGGCACACAGGAGAGGATGGCAGAGGCAGGGGGGGGAGTGGGTGGACATTAGTGTCAGGGGTGGGACAGCAGCAAGCATAAAGAGAGGAAGGGAAGGTTTCCAAAATGAGACCTGCTATGATATGTGGCTTGGAAACACTGGCACTAAAAAAAGAGAGGAGGCGGAGCTGGAGGTGGCCCAGTTGAAGATGTTAAGCTATTTGTGAGTCTGTTTGTTTGAGCACGTTTGCATGAGCGGCTTGGAGACAAAGTTAGAGAGGCGAGGTTGAGATGGCTTGGACATGTGCAGAGAAGTGTCTAACAAGTCTCAGCGGATACACTGGACAAAGAATGTTGAATATGCAGCTGAAAGACAAGAGGAAAAGACCTCAGAGGTTTATGGAAACAATGAAGGAATACATGCAGAAAGCTGAGGTGATAAAGGCGGAGGCAGATGATCTAATGTTTTGACTCCTAAAGGAAGAAACCCAAATGAAAAAGAAGAAGAAAAAGTAATAAAAAGGTGTAATTGCATACTTGGATATTGGGTGAAGCTTTAGGCTTCAACTCTCCAAAAAAGACATTGCAATCAGTAACTGCCTTTATTGAATAGTTGTAATTAACATGTTGAATGCAAGTACTGCAGATGGGAAATGTGGGGAATGAGAGCAGGGGAGCGCCATGCAGCAAATGTCAGGCCCGTCGGGACATGAAGTAGGTTCTCAGCTGCCGAGGGCGTTTTGGGCCATGCCACACTCACCCCAACTTCTAGGCCACTGCATCTCCGACAGTCTTTAAATCTTTAAAGATGCAGATGGGTGAGGTTCAAAAGACCTCAGCTAATCGCCAAGAAAGAGAAGTTTTGATTTTTTTAATAAAATCAAA